TTAAAACAACGAAAATTCTGAATCTCTTCTTCTTCACAATTAAATATTTGTGTATTTTGCTCCTGTTGAGTGGCTCACTGACACCATTACTTATGTTAAAGATCTTGATATGTATTTTTACAATAATTAATTTATGCTTATGTTATTAAGGATAAATGATAAGATGTAATATTTTTCATTTTCCTTTACATTATTAATGTTTGTTACTACGTAATCTTGTATGTAAGATAACATAGTGTTTTTAGTTTTAATGACTGATAGATTTTAAGTATTATTTTATAAATTTTGTGATATTAAATTCCCACGCGAAACGCAAGTAATTTTAGTAGTAAGAAATATAGTTGAAGAAGTAGATGGATTTGAGTCGGTAAGAATCACTTTTCTTAAAAATATATTGCCCGGATACATATGGAAAAAACTACAAGCAATTCCATTTAGGTTACAACAAAGCCGTTGAATATACCTATAAAGTTTTCTATTTGCTACTTCTAAGAGTATTTGCATTATAGAATTTAAGACATGACTTTTCATAATAGTCATGTTCTTTCACTAACAAATGTTTTTTTATAATAGTCATGTTCTTTCATTAATAGACGAGTACCTTTATATAAATTACAAAATATCCAACTAAGATTCATTTCATGAAGCTTTAGACTCAACATCTTTTCCGGAGTTATACGATGTTTGTTGGATTGTTATATATTGAAGGATACTAGTCAAGAGTTGCAATGTTGAACCAGTGAAAATTATATCGTAGTAAACTTGAATCATCTTAACTGAGGAAACCAAAATATACACACATCAACCTAAATATTTTAAACTCGGTAAAATTCAATGTCTACAAATATATTTTTCAAATAAATTTTGTTTTAAGAAAAAAATCTTGAATAATTTGATTTTTCTTTGATGTTTTTTGTTTTAGAAATACAAAAGTTTTGTGTGCACAAAAAATAGAATTTTGTAAAGAAGAATATAAAGGAAGGGATATATATATATAGATGTATATATCAATCAATTGTGAAGCATGCATATATCAGAAAATGCCTTAATCAATAGATTATGATGATCGAATCCAGCCGGGTTATCATGCTTGGATTCTGCTGCCTCTTCTGTTTATCACTGTTTACTCATAACTATTACCTAAGAAAACCATTTTAAGTCATTTCATCATATATCCTAATATAAAATTAGATTCTTTACGTTAAATTTTGTTACGCTGAGATCAACCTGCATTGAAACTTGACTAATTTAAATTCACATTACGCTGAGATCAACCTGCATTAAAACCTGACTAATTCAAATTAACGTTGCGTAAAGTCTCATCTAGAAGAAGCACTCCCTAACAAGGAAATTTTAAATTTGGATAAAGAATTAGGTAGAGGTGTCATTTGGATCATTTTGTTTCGTTTATCGTAGTATTGTTAATCATGTTTGATTATTTAATATACAATTGATATAAACTAATAAAATGATCTTTGATAATATATATTTGAATCGGATTTTTAAATGGCAAACAAACAATGTACTCCTTTTTCTTTGTTATATGTGATATTTTCTCGCTCCATCCCAATAAAATTCATTTATGTTGAGATGTTTGATTGAATAGAAAATTTAAGAAAGAAAGATTTTAAAATTTATTGCTTAAATCAAATCATAAAGATTTATAAAGCTCTAAATCATATGTTTAAAAGTAAGACGAGAAATCTAAAACTAAAATATAAAATGTATTATTTTTTTGGTTAACTAAATCAAAAAGTGTCTTACATAAAATGTGATAAAGATAAAATACTATTTCTAATTAGTTTATTCATAAAATAAATTATATATTAATATATCATGAAACAATTTTAAATTTAAATTTCTCATTTACCCGTTTTCATAACCACGCGAATTTTTACATTCAAAATACATGCTAAAAAATCACTCTGTTTTGTTCCAAAACAAACACCAACACATATGCAAATTGCAATAATATGATTTTATACTTATTAAAATATCATTGCAATTTTAATATTATATTCATTTCAATTTATGTGATACTAACTAAATCTAGGTAAGGTAGCAAGATGTTTGAAATTTGTAGTTTAAAATAAGTCATAAATCTTTGTATATCTAGCTATAAATTATTTAATTAAAAGGTTAAAAAAAGAATAAGTTAAATTAAATTATTTTTAAATTAGAATTATATAACATTCCATCTGAACATACTAAAAAGAAAAATACATTATTCCCTATGTTTTAATTATTTTCTTATTAGTTTGTTTAGAAAAGAATATTTATTTTTGTTTTATAACTTTTAAATTTTAATTTTCACATGCCGGCCATGTATAAAATCAAACTAGTATATATATTTTGATACATTTTATTATATTTTTTCAATTCCGTATTAAATCAAAATTCGACGATAAAAGGAGTAACCGAATTTCGAAAAGTTTGTAGTCAAAGAAAAGTAAAATAGAATGGTACAAATTTTGAATGAAATCGAAAAGGTAGCTTTTATATAGCAGGACAGACTGAACTTACAGTCTCCACTGTTAATAACTCTGGAAGAAAATGTACTTTGCCCATTTATTCAGTCTTGTGAATATTTTGAGTATCTAACCATTGGATCAACCAGAATTTCCTCAGCCCTAAAGTACACTAACTAGGGCTCCACCCCATAACTCAATGTCTCTCATCAGAGGCGTAGCTATATTATAGTCAGGTTCATCGGGAAAAAAATACCGTATATATAAGTAAAATAATATACAAAGTGATTAAATAATATATTTTAGATGTCTTGAAAGAGCTAGTCCTTAGGGTGCTCATGCGTTTAAATCTCACTAGCAAATTTTTTTTTTCTTTTTTTTTACATCCTTTGTAAAATTTCAGCCTTTGCCACTGCTTTCATCTAGGCTTGGTTATTATGGACGCATTACAATAAAATAGTTTATCGTAGTTTGTTGTCACTGAATTTAATGTTGCTATAGGCTTTAGCGATATTTATAAGAATAATTATTACCACTAAAAATATATCTTTAGCGATAATTAACCTATTATCGTTAATTGATTGCCGCTAAAAATGACATTTCTGCCCTCTTCCTAATTCATATTATACACAAATAAGAAGCAAAGTAAATATTTGAATTCAAGCCTTCACACAAGGAATTTTTACAGCTTGGTTTGATGGTTGTTGTTAGTTGTTACATTTCATTTCATAATTACCGTAGGCATATCTAAGATTAGATCAAGAAATAAGGCATTATTATACGTGATTTAAAGAGAAAAGCATTGATTTATGTGAACCATGCCTCAACTTATAAATACTCCCTTGTTCATAATATATCATATTGTATTGGATGATATCACTTCGATAAAAACAAAGTTTGTATACATCTCATTGTTTAAGTTTATAACTAATATAATGGTCTACATAAGCAATCTGAACTGAAGAATTAACTCACAATATTTTTTTGAAAATAAAATAAGGTATTGGATCGCATTATTAAAAATAATGTAAGATCATAAATAATAAAAATAAAATAATTAAATAATAAATAAGACAAAATAAAAAATAATAAGATAACGACACAATCACATAAACCAGATCATACAAGTAACAATCGTCCTCAGAAACCCCGTCTTTCGTGGGCGCCTTTTTAGGCGTTACAACGTCATTATTGTTATCACACCAAAATTAAGTCACTCTCTGTCTATATATCTTCTTTCCCTGTACTTCTTTTTGCTTCAGTCATTTGTATATTAGCTAAGTCATAAAATTATTTTAATTATCTATACATTTTTTCTAAATAAGAAAAAGTTTATAAAATCGTATAATACACTATAATATATATCCTAAAAATAATTATAACATTTTATTGATCAAAATTTAATATAATAAAAAAATAAAATTGAACAAGTCACAGTTGTACTAATTCTTATTAATTACAATCCTCCCATATAATATGGGCAAGCTCCATTAAGTTAAACTTGTTTTTGTTTTTCTCGATTATATGATCCAAAAACGAATAAACATTGTTAATTTGAGTCATTTGTAATGTATAAGAATTATTATTTTTATGTAATGTTGATTTGAGTAAGGTACTAAGGTAGTAATAAATTTGATAAAAAAACTTTAATGACTTCGATGAATAATAATGATAAAATATGAATTTAAACCGTGTATTTTGTTCTTTCTTCATTGTTAGTGTAATATATCATAAATATAATAAATTAAAAATTAAAAAAACAAAAAATGAATAAATAATAATTTAGATTGATTCGTGAATGTCTCGCTCTTTTTGAAGAGATTAGAACCCATTGTGGGATAATCTATTTGGTACACTGATCCAGTAGTTATACTCTTAACTTATTTTCTTCGAGATATAATACTCCATCAAGTACAACACAATACCGTGGATTAATTAAAGAACTCAAAGCTTCACGGAATAATAAATTTTACGTTGATGAAAATAATTATTATATGAGATATAAATAAGTTTAAAAGTAATGATATAAATTATAAATTTTATTTACATTTAAAATAAATAATTAGTAGATACAAATACAAGTTCTAATAAAATATAATATAATGATTTGAAATTTAATTGAAATCACATCTTCAAACACTGCATTTTACTCATAATTTTATATCACAATATAAATCGCATGCCCACCTTCCCTGCATCTAATTTTTGGTATTTGAATTATAATTAAAAGACCAAAAGAGAAACTCAAACCCTACTATTACCAGCCGGCCTTCAAAAAAGTTCAAACAAGCCAAGTTTTTACATGCATGTTAGATTAATGAAACGCATAACATACACATTGATGATTAGAAAGATCAAAGGAACGTAACGGGTCATTAGTGACACTGACACATAATCGTGAATATTGTAACTGAAATAAACAAAACAAGTGATCGATCGAACTTAGAATACAAGAAAAAAAAAGATTTAACTATTTAACTACATTTACCATAACATTTTAGAGATTTTCTTCTTTTTAACACTCCAACACAAAATCATAACATGCATTTCTTATCGTATTGCATGAAGTACTAGAACCACATAGTTTAATTTACACACTATGATAGTTTATGCTAAAACACATACGATACGATACAAAACTAAACATTAATAATAGGAACAAGTTTGTTTCGTTATAGCAGTTGAGTCTACTTCCTCCCGAATCCGAGCTTGAGATCAAGCTCCACAGTAACACTAACTTTTTGTTAAATTCATTAGAGCTAAATAAATGCGCAGTTGAAGTTACCACTGAGCATTTTCTTTGATTAGTAGCAATAGCGCCACCATTTTTCTTCTTTTTTTTCATTTTCATTTCACGACACGAATTTGAAGATGATGACGTGGATGTTGGTGAAGTAGGCAGAGGAACAATCGGTGGAATTTGGAAATTTGTTCGAGCTTTTGAACCTCTCAACCACCTCGCCGCCGCGTCGTACGCACGCGCCGCCTCCTCCGGCGTGTCGAATGTACCCAGCCAGTGTCTGCACCGCCCTATACGGTCGCGAATCTCCGCTGACCATCTCCCCCCATGGCCTCTTTCTCACTCCTCTGTAACTCTTCTCCACTGATGGAACATTATTCCTCTTTTCTGCAGGACACGTGCGTTTCAGAAGAGAAACTGCAGAATTTGGATCATCATTCTTGTTTTCATTGTTATTGTAACCGAAAAGAACATGTTCTCCAACAACAGCAGCAATTCCTTCAAGAACAGGGGATTTTTCATTTTCATTTTCATGGGCAGAAACAGAGTAGTTATCCCAAAATGGGTCGAGGGAATAATTAGTGTTGTCAATGGAGAAATTATGATTTGGTTCATTTGGGTAATAAAGGGGTTTTTGTGTAGAGAAGAAGAATGGTTCAGCTTTTTGAGAATGGGAATTATACATTGTATTGTGCTAAAGATGGAAGAGAAACACAAAAAGATTTTACATAGATTGTGATGATCAGAACTCAGAGTTCAACTATTTATAATCTCAACGATAATTCATTGTTTATTGAAATTATTCTCCTTTGTGAGTAATTGGGTTATTTTTGTATAAATTTGGAATAATAAATTTAATTGAAATTGATTGTTTAATTGAAAATATTTTCCGTCTTAATTTATGTGGCACTGCTAAATTTGTTAGTTTTTTTTTTTAAAAAAAGCTTCTATTAAAACTTATGAATTAAAATATATTATAGATATTTATGTAATTATAAATAAAGTGGATGTTTTGATTGAATTCCCCTATTCTAATTTGAATTTTGATACCTGAACCGATGAAAATATATTCAAATTCAATCTAAATAAGCTTGTTTTGGATTGAATATTTTATATTAATTTTTTTGTCTTTTAAGATTAATCATATCGATTATAAATTTTAAGATAAAATGATAAAAATTAATTCAAAATCATACTTCAAAATTTTTAACTTATGATTTTCGACTTATATTAGTAGTCAAATGTCAATTTAAACAAACTCTGTATTACTAAATTTTTGAAAATTAGACTTGAGAGAATTAGGGACAAAAAAAAATTATGAAGTAGAGTTGAATAAAAGACATTAAATTAAATATTTGAAAATTCCATTGTATAAATTCATATACATTCCGAAATTCATAAATAATCTAATGCATAATTCAAAAAAGTAGATTTAAAATATATTTTCATCTTTTATTTCATCTACTTTCTTTTTTAATATGTTTAAGAAAGTAAAATCCTTTTTTCCCCTTTTAATTCTTATATTTTAACTTTTTACGTAACATGTTTTTAATTACAAGGATATTTCAATATATATGACATGTTTTTAGTTTTAGATCATATAATTTTCAAAATCCTTTTTAAACTCTAATAAACCAACTTAAAATAAATCATACTGTACAAATTTAAATTAAAGAAATAACATTCTATTTTAAAGGAATCAAGTATTAAAAACATATCACATAAAATAATATATTATTAGGGGGTCTAGGATTTTATAGATATGGGTGTCAAATACGATAAGACAAGAATCCGTCATGTTTATTAATTATCACTGTAATAACACTGCCATTACTTGCAAGAGCGGGATATATACCTCTTTGTTAAAAGACAAAACTACCCACTGAAGCTCTCCAACATTTTTCTTTTTGATAGAATAATATTAAAATTGGATGTAAAATAAGTTAAACTTTCTCCATTCTAATTTCTAAGTTTTAATTTGATAGAATGCAAAGTTAAAAAGACTATTGAATGTTGTAATCTAGTATATATCAGGTTATTTTTATATGTAAATTTTTTGATTAAAAAGATCACTATTAACTTTTTTATTTAAATTTGATGGTCTTAAACACTATTTGGATAGTTATTTAAAATTTTAATCATAATTATTATTAGTTTAATAAAATTGAAAATCTTATATCTGACAGCTATTTGTGAGACTTAAATTGTTATTTCAATTCATGTGTCATATTTTTTTTATTTGCTTATTTAAAAAAAAATTATTATACTTTTTAATATAAAATATATTTCTTCATCTTATCTTTAGTAAAGTAATTTATAACAAATATTTATAATTTTTCTAAATCATAAGTTCTAAAATGAGTTCTTTTTTTCTTTCTAAATTCCATATTCAACTAAGTAATACCAAATAAATTCGAAGAAAGTAAATACTTTTATCATTAAATTGTTTTTTAAATATAAGTCTCATTTTAAAGAATAGATTAAACAAAAAATGTCATATAAAATGTGACTTGAGTAAAGTAAAGTAGGAAATCTGATGCAGGGACTTAAATATCATTGTGGGAAAAGTGACTGATACGACATAATCAGATACAGAGAAAATAACAAAACAGGGTGAATACTACTCTCTCTCTCTCTCTGTTACAATTTTTGTAACGCCATTTTAATTGATATAAAATTAAAGAAAAATAGACTCTTGAAAATTGTAACTTAAAATTAATCTTGAATATTTATTTGAATATAATTTATTTTATTTTATTAAAATAAATGAAAAATAATTTCTTTATAATTATTTAAAAGTGTCATCTTTTATGATACATTAAAAAGAAAAACTATGTCATGCAAATTATTATTTTTATTATTCCATTTTTATGTGACATCCTACCTTTTTAATCTGTCTCAATAAAATATCACTTTATTATAATTAAAAATAATTTAACTTAATTTTTTTTCATCCTTACCGAAATCATCTACAACCATACAATTATTAATAAATAATTTTAAAACTATGAATTTAAACTGTCTTTTTTGTTCTTTCTTCATCGTTGATGTAATATATACCTTAAATACAATAAATCACAATTTAAAATTAAATTAACAAAAAAAAAAAAAAAATTATTAAGACTAATGCGCGGATGTTGGAGATTCAAACCTACTGAGTCATAATTTATTCAACAATTATATTCTTGACTTTGTCTCCTTCAAAATATAACAGTCCATCAAGTATAACTCAACGACTCTTGATTAGTAAAGAATTTAAATTCACAAAAAAACACCTTCATAAATATTATATCGAGTCAAACAATATCACATAAAATAAAAAAAACAGATCACTAATTAAATAGAGTAAATGATCTCAAGAATTTAAGGGAGATGTAGGGCGTAATAAGCTAAGAGCCGTAGGATTACTGTAATGAAAGGCGTCAGAGTGGCGTCAATAAGAAAAGATAGTTTGACTGCATCACAGCTGCATGGTTTAGCCATGATTGCTTCTTTTTAACCAGAGGAAGATTTGGGTGTATCACAGCTGCATTATTGTAACCGTGTAGTGACTATAAATGAACCATCATATACAAACATGCACACTACTATTTATGAACAGAAAATATAGGTTATTAATCAGATAAGTATTAAAGATTTGATCATGGAAACATGAGTAAGTTACGTGCATGGATAAATAATGATAATCATCACATCAATCAAGGGAGTTATGTGGGGGGGGGGGGTACTATGTTAGATAAATTATGGGACAAAGTAGGAATTGGCATTATATTTTTGGATGTGTATCAAATGACAATAATATATATATGAAACTTTTGGAGTGTAGTAAAAGGGACCTTTATTATTTTCATCGATGCTATCTACTACTCCTTCCATCCATCTTGTATTATTCGTTCATTTTTATTTTTTAAAGGGAATTCATATAAATTTTATTAGTTTAGAAGTTAAATACTTATAATTTATAATATTATGTATCTTATCAGATTTTTCAGATATATTTAGATATATATGTATTTCGGATATATAGAATCAAAATTAATAGGTATAATTTATTCTAAATACATTATATTTAAGTAGATTCGTATGAATATAAGATACATAGAAAATCTTGTTCACCTTATGTATCTGGTATCCCAGATACATTTGAATCACTCTTGATCTCACTCGTCTTTCTCCCTATTTTTGTGCTTTTGATAGCATAAATACATGTATCTAAGTGTATTTTTGTCAATATATGGTAGAATTTTTTTAATTATTGATAAGATACTTAATATTTTGAAAGTATATATAATAATAGTATCTATGGTTGTGAAATATGTCTGATTAGTTAGTTGGTTTTTTTTATACGTTTTCAAAATATCTTAAATAAAAAAGTGTTTTTATTAATTTTGCATTCAACTCTTTTAGTATACTTTTTTTAGGTCTTATTCATTAACATAAATGTTTAAAATAAAAAAAATTAAAGACAAAATTTAATTTTTTTCAATTATATCTTAATTGTAGAAAGTAATAGGAGTGAATAGTAATTAATTTGAGACATGAGTATATTTTTAGGTTATGGAATGTAGGGAGTACAAGTCTCACTCTTTTCTGGATGCAGTCTACTGTGTGCTGATGTGCTTCCTGCATCTCTCATCCTTCCATGGTTCTAAAGATTCTTTAGACAGATTTTTGAAACATTAATTTTGATGAGTCTAAGTTATACGATTAAAAATAAAGAAGATAATTAAAGAAAAAATTACGCGGATAAACAAATATATGTTAGTTAATTAACTAACATAGATATAGTTTGAATTAATTACGGCTGACAATTTAATTTTTCCTGTAATTAAATTCTTATACATATACAAATACAAACTATATATATATGACAAATATACAAATACAATAAGCCTCTCTCCACTCCCTGCCCTCTCTCGCTCGCCTCTTTCCTCCCACTCCCAATCTCGCTCGTCAGATATACAAATATATATGTATATCAGTTACATATATACTATTATCTGGCAAATATACATATACAATTCATCTCTCTCCACTCTGTGCTTTCACTCACTCGCCTTTCTCCTCCCTATCCCAATCTCGCTCGCTCACCCTCTCTCCTCTATCTCTCAATCTCGCTCTCCAAATATACAAATACATATGTATACTAATTACATATATACAATTATTTGACAGATATACATATACAAATCATATAGTTGATAAATCATATAACAAAAACTTATACTAAAAATCAAAATATTATTATATGAAAACTAATATAAAGAAAAACATTGAAACTTTAGAGAGAATAAATCTCCCCGTAAACAAGACTCTTAAACGACTACATTGTGGATGTTATTGTTATTGTGTTAGAAGAAACAAACCTATATTTATACTGTCCTAAAACCTTTCCTACTAGAAAAGAACTAGCTACTCCAAAACATTTTCCTAAGAGGAAAGAATAAACCAAATATGAAAGAATATTATATTTTCCTTTCAGGAAAAGTAAAAATATTTATGGTAATGTTTTGTCTTTTCGTTAAGGAAAAATAAATCTTAAATTATGGTAAGAAAATCAGGGCAAAACCCTAACAAATCTCCCTTTTGGCATGAATTTTCTGGCATAATAATCTTGATCCTCTTTCTTCACACAATCTTCATGTATCACTGCTGCTTACCATTATTTAAAATTGATCTGGGTTAAAACTTGGAGCCCTATGTTAAAAGTGATGAACAGGGTTGAAAGTGGAG